AACGTGCAGGGCTGAAAAATTCTATTTTCAAGCCATCATGAAAAGCCTAAAAATAATAGGAGTCAAGCTTAGGACTTTAGACAAGCGCTTATTGGGAGGCAACTCAATATTTCTATCCATTTTATTTATATTGCTTTCTAGACATAGGATAATTTAGACTAGTTTTATTTAATTATTAGGAACTCATCATTTATTTCTCGTTTCCCCTTAGGTCCTTGAGATTTAGTTGGTTTATTAGATGTTTGATTTGAGTAACACGTGTTTCAAGTATTTGATCTTTAATGCTTTATTTAATTGCATTGTGCAGGAAAGTGACATTGTAGAACACTTAAAACCAACATTGACAAAGGAGACAACGAGAACAATATGACAATCTAGCCATTGAATTTCATGTGCATATCAGGGGAGTATACTCTTCATTTTCTTCCCTACACTTATATGCGGACTTAGAATTTAAGATATTGAGGGCAATATCTGTTATAAGTTTGGGGGTGGAAAAATATTAAGTTTGTACTGGGTTGTGTGCCTATTCGAGTGAAAAAAAAATTTTGAAAAAAAAAAAAAAAGTTTACTCTTAGCTTATTTTTTTGTGTGCTTGTGTGGGTTTGATAAATTTTCCTATTATGATGTATATATTCGGAACCATGTATTAGGCTATAAGTTGTGAGAAAGTTGCATGTTAGGGTTGATTTATACTTATTTGTGTAAAACTTGATATTTTTAGAGCACAAATTTATGTTTTGCATCATGGAAAAAAAACTTGATTCAAAATTTAAATTGGTTGAAAAAGAAAAATATAGTGGACCTTAGATACTAAATCCAAACAACCACTAAATTATACATCCTTAAACCAAATTTAGAATAGCTTGGGAGTGATTGAACTGTTGTAGAGAGACATTGAGATAAATGTGAATTCCATGTGTGCTAATTTTTGTGTGATATATCTAAGGCCAATAAGGTGAAAATTAGGCGAAAATCTTAAGTTAGAGATTGATTTTTGAGAATAGGTGTTTAATCAGGGGTATTGCACTAATCATTGTATTTTGAAAAATAAGAAAAAAGAAAAAAAATATTGTCTTGTTATGAAGTTTCTCTTCGTAACCTTTATGACTCGAGTATTTAAGCCTGTAAGGGTATCTAAAAACTTGGTGCCCCAAAGTCATTTGACTTGGGAGTCATCGACTAAAAGCTCGCTACATGGATCATTTAGAAAGCTTAATGGAGAAAAGTATGCACATAAGATATGAAAAAAAAATGTCTATAAAAAAATAAGAAGAAAAGAGAAAAAAAAATGTTGTCTGCCTTAACTAAGCTCCAAAAACTTATTTGAGAAAATTAAATTTTTAACAAGGGATTATTAGCCTAGTTGATTTTTGAAGGTCGAAGTAATAAAAAATAATGAGAATCCTTATATGTTGATATGTTGATCTGCAAGTAGTAAGATCTAACCAAACTAGAGAGCGGGAGAAATAGTATATAAATTCAACCTTAGATCACACATTGAGAAGATAGTTAAATAAATAAGTTTAGAGGTGTAAATCTCAAGAGAGGAGAAATGATAAATTTGACTATTAAGGGTCAGGAGTTGAATCACTTTATGAATTTATGATGCTTGACATGAATTTTCACATACACACGTCAGTTTTGCATTGAATAAGTAGAAATTAATTTTAGTATTGCAATTTTGTAACAGTTCATAGTCTTCATACATATATTCCAATCCTGATGCCAAAGGCAAATTATCTAACCATATTTGTTTAAAATTTTTGTTTAAGTTAGATTATAATTTTGTTTGAGGACAAACAAATGTTTAAGTTCGGAGATATTTGATAAGTGTATTTTATACACTTATTTAGGCCATTAAATTAGGGTATTTGTTAGTAATTTGAATAAGTTATAGCCTAGTTTCATGTTAATTATGTTCGTTAGGTTGAAATCAATGCAAATTTGTGGATTTGAAAGAAATGAATGAAAAGCGTGTGAAAACGAAGAAATTCCAAAGTTTGGGGACCAAAGTGTAAACATTCAATAGTTGATTCGGATTACAAAATGATGGTTGAAGATCATATGACATTAATTAGATGCAATTGGAGGTCAAAGGAATGAAATAGAGTTGAAGCATTTTTACAAATCAATTTCCAGCTGAAGAAGTTATGCTCCAAATTTTAAGTCTCAATTTGAGACCCATTTTTCGAGTAACAAACGATGAAATTGAAAAATTTGTATTTCAAAAAGAATTGTATATCTTTAAGTCAACTTTTTGAATCACCTCAATCGGAGTTCGTAAGAGAAAGTCATGATCAAATTACCGACAGCTGTCCAGGACGACGCGTGAAGCAATAGCGCACGCGCACCACGCATTTTTCTCCAACCTGAGAGCAAAATCATTAATTGGTACACGCGCAATGAAATATATGGTGCGCAAGCATGGGCTAAATTTTATGTGATGTGCCAGTTTTCTTATTCCGATGAAATTCTACATGGAAATAAAATCTTAACATCATATATGTACCTAAACACGTCCAGAACGAAAAAGACCTCTGTTTTCACCTAAAAATCTTATATATGAGACTAAGGATCAAGATCAAAGCGGATTATACAAATTTATTGAAGAATATTCATCCCTTTTCGAGCTTCAAGTCAAGAAATTGGATTTCTTCACTTTCTTCATTATTTCTTATTTTCGGGATATGTTTTTCCAATATTTCTTGTATAATTTAATCATTAGATTATTAGGCTAGTTTTTCTATTGTATTGGATGAATGATAAACCCTATTGCATATTTGTTTTGATTTAATATTAATAATTAAGTTATTTCTTGATTGATTTTGCATGCCCATTGCATTATTTAATTGATTGATCACCAATTGAATAATTAGTTACTTATTGTAGTGTTGGGAAACTCACAATAAGTTTAGAACGCGTCAAAGTTAACATATGTAGATAGAATTAGCAATAATCTTTATCACATATGCAAACACATAGATAACTTGTAATTTAATGCATTTTGGTCATATGAATTCGAATTAGGAATATGATCGGGTTGTGATTAAAATAAACTTAATTTGTCTTGGAAAAAAGAATTAAATACATTAGTGTTATTGATTGTCACGAAGCATGAAATTGACTATATTACGAATCAAGAATTAAAATAAATGACAATAGGAGGATTCACGATTCCAATACAAACATTCACATATGTGATAAAATATTTTTTATTGCTTCCTTAATTTAGAATTAGTTTAAATAATAATAACAAAATTACATCTTTTGTGCAACGAACATCAAATTTAGTAGTAATTAATAAACTAGTATTAAATATTATTCTTCGTGGAACGATAACTAACAACTCACTTTTTTATTACTTGTCAACAATCCCGTACGCTTGCAAGTTTTATGCGAACAAAGGGTGTAGGTTTTAAAGAGTTTGTGCAAATACACAATCCTAAGTTCGATATTCCTTCTCGAAAAACAATTAATAGGGATGTGCTCTATCTTTAGAATGAGACAAATGAATCATTGAATAATAAACTTATTCTGAATAGGCAAGTGGTTGCTCTTACAACTGATTGTTGGACACAATTCAAAATATTAATTACATGGTAATCACGGCACACTTTATTGATAGAACTTGGAAATTGCATAAGAGAATTCTGAGCTATTTAGTTGTTGCAAATCATAAAGGGGAGACAATAGGAAAACTTGTTGAAAATGATTTGCTTGATTGGGAAATAGAGCACATGTCGACTATTACTGTTGACAATGCAAATGCAAATGCAAATGCAAATGATGACATTTTATGGCTCTTTTGATGAAATTTTCTGGTTGTTTAACTTCTGTGTTGGTTTTAAATTTTTTTGAACTTTTGATTATTATCATAATAAGATGGTCTTATTAATACTCTATTAAGCCTCTGTTTAATGTTGGTCATATACTCTTATTAAAGTTCTTTTAAATTCTGATTAGTTTTTAATGCTCTTTTAAGGCTGTTGTTAATTGTTATTGATTTTTTGTGTAACTTCTAATCCGTTAAGACTCTGTTTACGTCTCAAATAATTAGTCCATTAATGTCAGTTTCTAAATTTATGGCATGATCGATAGTTTGTGATAATTTGTCTAATTACATGATTGGATTTACTAAATATGTATTCAAAAAAATATTATGGGTAGAATTGAACCTAAATCGGAACCGATGGTTCGGGTTTGAGTTTGGGTCCAATAATTACGTGGAACCAAATGGATTCATTTACGAAATATTCAAAATATAATGGGTGGTTCCGTGTATTAAAATACTCGAGCCGAGCCACTGACGTCCACCCTTGTAACTAAACTGTACTTTTGTTTAAAATTAATTAATTTCTTATTAGTCCCAAAATAAATTAATATTGCAGCATTACGCACTTGAATATATTAAATATATTGAGTCCAAAATTATTTATCTATGCCCTAAATTTCTCCCGCTTACAAGAATTTCTACTAAAAGTTAGAAAATCACTCAGAAGAAGAAGAAGAAAATTCCATTTTAATCCCTGAATTTGCTTGAAAAGATAGCTTCTTATAAAATAATTCATCCCGCTCTTCCTCGTTAGGTAATCGGGATGTGGACAAAAAAAATGGTTTCTCCCTGAATTCCTCGAAGTCGCCCCTAACATTTTTATGTTTTTAAATTTAGATTATATAATAAATGAATGGCATTAATTCTAACCCGTCTCTCAAAAACTTTCGATGGAGTGGGGACATAAATGGCCCCCAACTCGTCTCACCCTGCCCGATTGCCATCTACTACATGTGGCCCTAACGATTGATTTCAAAATTTATTAGACACCTAAGTTATGTAACGTAAAAAGCTGGACTTGAAAGATACCCATTATGCAACTGATAGTTGGTGTCCAATATTGTAATTTTCTTTATTTATCATGTGACTTTTCGCCTTTAAAAATTGTATATTAGTTTTATAAAATGAAAAATTTCAATCACACACACTCTCGTCCAAAGTCGTAAGAGAGTGAAATTAAAAGACTCTTTTGGTCAACCTAAAAATTTACACAAATACATATAGAGACAGAGGGAGCGCGAGAGAGAAGGTTGGGGAATCGACAAGTGGATCCAATGAGTTACTATACCGCCACTTTCCCCTTTCCGTTGTCCGTTTTTAACGCTCAAATTAATACATACACTACTCTACACCATATATACAGGGTATGTGTATATCATACACCCACAAATTTTAGGTGATAGTGTGTGTTTTTGTAAAATAACTTTGAGAATGTTGAATTTGGGAATTGGCAGTTGCTATCCAAAGACTTATGTTGGAGTGAATGCAGGTCTTGCTTGTGTTGATGGGGTGATTGCTCTTCTTGCTTTCTTTCAGGTAACTTTCATTTTTTCAAATCTACTTTTTCATTATAAAGTTGTGGATTAATTACTGCATTACTTATTTGCATAAGTTGCTTATTTTAGGAATATACTTATGATTAAACTTGTTGCTCTTCTCTGGGTTTTATTTTTTTAATCATCTTCATTTCTTCTGTGAAGAGGTTCATTGTCTATGATCATTTTAAAAACATTTGAAATTTGTGTTATGATTGATCTTTCTACTTTTCTTGTGTTGTTGTCGTTTTTGTTGTAAAGGGTAGTTTTGATTTTTTTCTATTCGATTTTAGATTGCTTGCATAAAGATTAAAAAATGATAATGGATTTGAATTGTGAATGCTATTAATTGACAATGTTCATGAATGAAGAGGCCTATCTTGGCTTGTGATTATACTAATCTTCTGATTATTTTTAGTTTAATTTTTCTGCCTTTTGATCTTTTGATGATGTTCATGGCATGAATTTTGAGCAAACATAGAGGCACTGATTCGTTAGGTGACTCAATATGGTTTGATTTGCGTGATGCCGTTGTTGTTTGGAAAATTTCGTGACTCATTGTCTTACTGATGCTGATTCTATACATGGATTACTAGTGAAATAGCTGGCAGGAAACCTAGGGAGACGTTATAATAGCTGTATTTGTCACATAGTTTACATAGTTACTTACCGAAAGAGGATAAATCTCAAATTATGACAAAATTCCATCAGCATTAGGCTGTGACCGTCATGACTCATGAGTATCAATGTAGCTGCTCAAAGTACACGTGAACGGTGACATTAATTTTGCATGTTGGTGCCATTATTATTGTTTCAGGGATTCCACGTGAGATTGTTGGCGTGATTCGTTATTTTCAACGGTAACATTTGGGAAATAAATATACGTTAAATAGGCATTTGTGTGATTGGAATAATATGAAGTTGGTGTTTAGATTCATTGCCAAATACTTAATAAATATTTTCCATTTAGCCAACTCAAATGATATAAAAGTACTTTGCAATTCTTATCCAAAATGTTGAAGGTCGAGGCATAGTTTACCATTGATTGTTACCTAATCATACAAATTTCTATATTAATGATGATATTGTATTACATTTTCAGTGTAGGCAAAGGGCACTTGCTCTGTGTTACATTTCTACTTTCTAAGCTATTCAGAACTAGTGGTATTATAGTGATAAGTCTCATTTATATCCCACATTTAATTGGACCTATCATTTGTGAAACCTTTTTTTTTTTTTGCTCCTTAGCCTACGCATTCCATGCATAGTTGTTATCAGAAGCATTTCTCAGATGTAAATGAGACACGCGTGTAACTCATTCCTAAATTAAATAGTCCGAATGAGGTGAACAGGATATCTGGAAAAAGATGAATTTTATCTTTTGAAGACTCATTCAACTGTAATAAATATTTTCCTATGCAATTCCTGTACAAAGCAGATTACATGGAATTATTACCGGACGTTGCATAATGAAGTTGTAACGTTGTTGAATATAATAAGAACATTAATTAAAGTGATGATCCAAGAAGAACCTTCAAAAGTGAATGACTGGTGGACCAACAAAATTTAACATAACTATAAATGATTAGCAATAAATTGTGATTTCACTAGACCTTCCAAATGCACAAATGGAGTGGGAATGAACCCCTGGTTTTAAAATGAGAACATGACTAAGTATTTATTTCTTTATATTCCTTTGATCAATTCATAAAGAGTAGGCTTTAGCATCCTTGTTCCTTATTGTTTTTCCTTCTTTTGATGTACCAGTTGATGAGGATTCATGCAAGGAATCCAAATTGGACCCGACAAAAAGTAAGCAGTTCTTACGTCTGTGTGTTTCTTTTCCAATTGTTTGCTTCTTTTTGATGACATGCAAACTGTATTCACAACAGAGACACTGTAAATTTTATTAAAGATTGTCAATGACTTATTATATATTTATGGTTCATATTATATTAGACATGACATCTACATATATTTTATACTAAAATGTTAATCTGATGGAATTGTGTTTTTAATCGTAGGTTTTACATATAGTGATTGGATCCTCTAATTTGGGTGAGAATTTATTAATATTATTGTCCGTTTTATGAGGCCTTCAACTGATGCATCATTGATATATGATACAAATCTCCACTTTCTACTAATCAAATAGTTTTTCGCACACATTGCTTTTCCTAAAAAAAATTTGATAAGCCAAATTGTTATATAATGCTGGCACAAGCGGCCCTTCATCATAAATTCCGATCTTCTAGTACATGATAATTTTGGCTATGATAATTTCATACCGGCAGGGTATTCCATTTATTTTGTGATGACTCTTTTTGCTGCTTGTAAGAGTTGGCTTTGCTGGTCGTACACCTGCGGTTTCATTAGCATGGGTAAATAAATTATCCTTTGAGTTTCTTCAGAAAATTTAGCAAATTTTTAGACGTACTTAATTGTAAAAGGGATGCTTATGCCGGAAGATATTACTTTTGCAGCTTTCCCGAAAATACTGTTCATTTCAGCTTTTCTTCTACTTTTGTCATTCTGGTAAGCCCTTTTTTTATTACTTAGAGAATCATGTTCATCTTAATATGTGTATGTTGATAAGTTTGAATGGACAGTTGGAAATTATACTTTCTTCAGTAATTCTACAAACTACACTATTGGTCATAAATATAATTCAACAATCAAGAAGTGGTGAGAAATATTCGGCATCATTTCACTAAGTAATACCTTTTTTTTTTTTTAAAAAATTTTTTTTTTTTTTTTTTTTTTTTTTTTTTTTTTTTTTTTTTAAGTCAAGAAACTCAATTTTCTAGTGTAAATCTCTCACTCTTACTCTCCGCTTGTGTGCACTTGATTAACTATTTATGAGGGTGCAAATTATGATTACTTTGCAGGTATATGTAGATCTCTTAGCAATAGCTGTTGTTTTCCTAGGAGGAGCCTTGGCTTGCTATGGTGAGCATCCTGTGATGTTTTACTCCTAATTCATGAAAATTAACAGCTATAAGAATCCAATAGCTATACATCTTTTACAATGAATTAATCTGTTTTGTCAAATATGTAATGTTCTCTTCAACTGATCCATTTCTATTTGCTTTTCATCAACCAAATATCGTATTTAGGGCTTCTACTGTTCAAGAAAATGAGAAAAGTGAGATCGGACCGGGGCACGTGTGAAAAGTGTAAGGTAGCTGCTCAATTTTTATACTTTGTATAGCTCTCTTCTACTTATTTTTATTTTTATTTATTTATTTTTTATTTTTATTACAAGTTGCACTATAGTTTCTCAGTTTCCTTCTCTGAGGATAAATTTTTGGAAGTAATTTCTTCCTTTAATTTCATTATATACGATCACTTTTTAATAGTGTGTGGCTGTTGCACTTGGTTTCTTTATTTCTATCTCAAAATTATTGCTATGCAGTTTGTAGGCTTGGCCGTGGTATCAATTGTATCTTTTACATCAAGTGCTTATGTTGCCATAGCTACAAATATACCTGTAAGTTCTTGCTGTTCTGTAGCATGTATTCAATTCCGGATACTGGAAAATGCTTCCCATTTGAACATTCTCAATGTTGCAGCTGATTTATCACTGGCGTCAACAAGACATAGATGGTGTTCATACGCCGCTTCTGTTGGTTCTGTATTATCTTATAGGTAATGGTTGATGGGACACTTATCTTCTGTTATGGGACTTTTTTTTCTTGATTTAACACGTTTCTACACAACATTTCCAGGTTCATCATTGCCCTCGGCCTTTGTACTATGCGGGATGAGAGAATTACCAGCCTTTGTTGAAACTGATAGACAAGAACAATGGTTAACAATAGCTTTCATCGATGATGATGATTCAGTGGCAGCAGATCCGCAGCCCTCGACTGCTGATGGTAGCATGCAGATTCAGGTTCACGAACTTTCCTGTGACTTTTATAGTTGTTTAACCATAACATTTCTTTGCCTACCTATCTTCCTAATATACCGTACAATTTCACTTCATTTCATGGCCCCAAAAAAAAATGGGAAAGAGCTTTGCTTGGTTGGTCTTTCTACGCTGACAAATGCTTCTTTCTTTTTGTCTTTGAACTAATCTCTTACTCTAATCGATTCCACAATTTATTCATTTCAAAGTTATAGCACATATTTTTATAAGCTTTAAAGTAAGTGAAATAAGCATGTTGAATAAGTTATTTTTATTCCTGCCAAAAGTAACTTATTAACAATTATAATCAATTTCATGAATGCAGGAATCAACAGCAAGCCCTACATGAAATGCAAACTGTGAATATAGGCTATAAGAAGCTGGGAATGCATTGGCACTTGGGAGTGCATAAAATATAAATATTGACAGCTTAGTCTCCTACACATAGTAAACAAATAAAAGGAAAGGAAAGTAAAGTAAAGAAAAGAAAAAGAATATTATGGTAAAACTTTCTTGTTAATGGATGCTTAATATATATGTTTATAATGAGACCTATTAGTATTTAACCTTCTGCTTTTATTTATTTATTTCCTCACGACTAGGTTATGTGTGGTACGATAAATTATACAAAATCGAATAGAGTAATGAATAAAGAGTCTAAGATCACGCCCTTCTATTTCTCAACCATGTCTACTTCTAGTTGGTCGATAAATCAAATATGTCAAAAATGTTTAAACTCGAAGAATTTGATGGGAGGTTCATATTTTATTTACCAAAGTTAGTAATTTTTTCCCACGTCATAAAGTAGTAAGTAGTATGAGTTAGAATGTAGACATTACGATTTTCCTCTATAGTTTGGTTTGTGATCCTTTGAGGTTTAATGACCTTGGAACAAAATGTAAAATTAATGGAAAAGATGTTTCATTACTTCATTTTCAAATGACCCTAATTAATCTAACAATTTTTCGTTTCAAGTTATCCCACTTTTTTCAACTGGTAGTAAGTACTTGTGTTGCACGTTTTATGTATTGAACCAATGATATGCCTAATCTTTTTAAGTACTAATACTGTTTTTGGAAATAGTTGATGTAATTAATATTACTAAAGGCAAAATTAAAATTGTTAAAAAATATGTATACGGATAACACATTTTATGAAATTGTGTATATAATGTTAAAGGTTTAATAAATTGAAATGTAATATTTTCATTTGAATTACATTTTTTCGTACACAATATTTTTTGTCAACATCCTACAACTTTTCTTCTTTTTATTTTCTATTTTTAGTCTTTTGTTGTTT